AAAATCATCTTTACCAAATCACCAAATATTGTCTGTAGATTACGATATTAATATTCGGAGAGAAAAATTACCTGGTGGACAGGCATATATGAAATGGTAGTCTCTGGAGAGGGGCTTCTCAATGCTTCATAGAGATTAATACATGCTGCCAAGCATTGGAAAGGATCCTCAGCACCCAACCACCAGCGCCTCCCTTCAAGAGGTCTGACTGCCGAATCAAAAATTTCATCCACATGATTCTCAGTAAACGCTACTCGCTCATCAAAGGAGAGTTTGTCCACGCCACCAGCATATAAATTTGCCAAATGTATCTTCAACCACTGTAAGCCTGACTTTCCAAGACGCCGTCCCTCTGCAAACTCCAGGATGCCTCGGCACATATCAGAACCAAGATGGTTTAGATATGGGTGCATGGGGTAAGCACGACCACGGAAATCAAGGTTGTGCGGGTAGTAGAAGCCTTCTTCATCCTTCATTTTTCGAGATACCTATTCCCATTCAGAGAGACTTACTTAATATCAGAGTATCTAAGAGTGCTGCATTATTTAACTTAACAGGAATTATTCTTACAGCAAGTTTGAGTTCTATGTCACACCGCTGTGAGTGTCTCTCACTATTCTCCTTCTTTGCAGCTTTAACTTTCCACTTCCATTTTTTTATTTCTGTCTCATCTTCTGTGTCTGGTTCTTCAGGCAAAGGAACCTTTTTTAAAGCAGGAACAAAATGAAGATTATTTATTGATAAAAACCAGTAATACCAAGATGCTGAATTACATGTTGATGACACGTTGAAGCAAAACAAAATAGTTTCTGTAAAAGCTTGGAAGTATGAAAACCAAATCCAGTTAAAAATAACCCACATCTTCACGGTCAACCAAGTCAGCAAGACGGCCTCCACTAGCCCATATCCTGTCTATTACACCAAGTACCCGTTTGTTCACCCTCCATTTGGTACTTCCAAGAGTATCCAGGGCCTAAATACAGAGAACAGTCAACAGATTAGGGGAAAAACTAATATGTACAAGTGAGAACCCTCGCACTAGAGGAAAACATTTAAGGGATGTTTCTGATGAAACATAGCTTGTGCACAAATTCTAAAGGCAGGAGCAGATACAATAGTGAAACTGAAAGTAACAGTTCCTGGGGATTTCAAACCTCAAAAACAGGTTCTAATTGCATCCTAGGAGTCCTTTTAACAACTTGGCGTTGTTGTTTCGCTCCATGAGTTCGCATAACATAGGATGGTAAGAATAAATATGCTCCTCTGTCATACCTGCCAAAGTATACCAACAGGCAATAAGAGTCGGCTAAAAACCCAGAAGTGCTTAATCTAGCTAATTCAAAACTAAAACTCCAACTAATCTAAACACTACATACCCTGTCCAGTTGATAGGGGGTACCAACATAGGCATATAAGGAATGACCATGTGCCTTGCCTGCTTGGACAGAACAGAAATCAGTAGAGTTGTTTTACTCAGGTATAAATTCATTTGTACAAATTAGAAAGAAAAAAAAAGATTATTTCCCAAGTATGTCCCAAGAACAAAAACAAATAAAAAAACAAACTAGAATCATAGCATGAGACAAATCAGTTAAAATTGTTCTACTTACAGATTTCTCCATGCCTTTGCGAACTAATGGGTCGCATTCTATAACACCATATCTCCTACTAGTCTTCCTATTACAAGAAACCCACATAAGTATAAGCATATAGAACTGGTGGGGAGCTAGATAGACACAGGAAAAAGATCCAACAATTCTTACTGTGTGTCTTTAGTGATAGTCTTAAGGACATGTACAAATGCGGGGCGTATATCAAGTGGATCATCTCCTGATTGATCAACTGGAGGTTGTATATAAGCTGTGTCCATCAACAACTGAATCAATCGACAGCCAACCTGGCAAGTACAAGGACCACGATAATATAGCAACAACAATAACAAGATAGTTTGCATAATTATTTCTATAAGCATCACAAACCTTAACATGGGCTTCCTGACCCCATGGCTTTAAGTCTTCTTGTTCCTTCACAATCTCCCTTACTTGCTTCATTTTCTGCTTTTTTATCAGTTTGTTAACCTTTTTCCTAAGTCTCTCCTGTTCTTTCGTCAGTTTCTCTTGCTCGCTGATTGACAGTTGCTCTTGTTCAATGATCACAGGATCAGATTCATCTTCAGGCTTCTTGTCAGTAGGGTTCTTCTTCTTCTTTGTCTTATCCAAAAACCTGTGTATCCTAACCTGATACACATGATTACTATATTTAACTCCTAAAACATTCAAAACCAACGATAAATGGAAAATGTACTGTCAACATTATTTCGCTATTATTTTCACCGGATGCTGAAAGAAGCATTACTTGCTCATGAGAAAAGCCTTCAACTAGTCATGAAGGCATGAGAGATCAAAGGACTCAATTTCATACATTGCAAATACATGTAAATTGTAATCCTAGAAAAGGGAAGTTCACGTTTGTATGAATACAAGGAGTTGAAGTAATGATATTCTACCAAACCGAACAGACCGATGGTTGATCGCTAACTAAAATTCTAGCCAAAATGTTCAAAGTACAGCCAACTTAGGACCAAAACCAAATTCAACACAGCTATAAAATGTTCATAGAAAGAAATTTAGAGAATTTGAACGGCGTATTTCAAAAATAAAAAGCAAACATGAATTTACCAAATAAGAAAATAGTGAGCTCGCATACCTCATTCTCAATGGCTTCACCTATCGCACAAGCAGCTTGGACTACCCTGACACTCCCGACTCCGCCATTATTTGTCATCAACAGCCCCATCAACTTGTGCATTGTAATAACAGCCATCTTATCGGCCGGTAAGAGATCAATATACGGAGCATGACTGACTCTATTGTGCGGTTGCCTGCAGGCCTCTTGGTCCTCAGCAATGGCGTTTCGTAAAGGCTCAAACCAACCAAGAAACAATGACTTAATGTATGGCAAATTGGGTGCAAGCTTCTGCTCGCACATGTCCACTAAAAGCTCTTGGTACTCGTTCGCCGCCTCTTCCCACGCCTCGGTCTCCAGCTTTATTTGCCTCTTCCGGAGGACATTGTACTTTCCTACTCCTATACCAGCAACCACTTTCTTCGGCTGCTTGAAATGGGACTCCACCTTGTTGTTCTCTCTGATCAAATCCTCCAACAATTCCTGAATTTCTTCAGACCCCGACGACTCCTCATCCCCATCCGTCGACGCAATGGCCTCGGCAGCACTGGCATAGCCTCTGGCATAGCTACAAAACCCAGAAACGCCATGAAAGTAACTCGGATTCAGCAAACTGCATCTGCCCAATTCGTCCTTCTGGGAAGCTGTATCGCCAATTTTTCGAAAACCCATCACCAATAACCGACTGTTTACACAATTCCGGGCCTCGAAATGCCTGGTTTTCTTGATAAAGCTGGATTCTTGAGAAAATTTCACTGAAGAAGAAGTAGCAGAACCCAAATGAAACTGTGAGGAAGGATTTGCCTTTCTGGAAGCAACCTTTTTGGCGAAGTTTCTCCACATATTTCCAAGATCAAAGTTGCAGTAGATGAAAGATTAAGGGACATCAAACGAAAAATCTTCAACGGTCGAAGGAGCAGCAAAATTGAGGAAAAATTGGAGCTATAAGAAAAATACAAATTTAGTTATAGGAACAAAAATGTGTATATGAATTGGAAAACTGCGATCTGGAGGAGATGGGTGGAGGGAGGGAGGAAGGAGGAGTGACTGGGCAAGTAGCCGCCTTTAAACCCTGCATAAACCTACGTTCTCTGTGTGCTTGATAAAGCCGTTGGATCGTCGGCTTGGGCTAGACGTTTTCCCGAGTCGACCCGTTTCAAAACTCAAAGCTATAATTGGGCTGACCCAATAGTCGGTCTGTCTATGGCGGTGGGCTTCGGGTTAATTTCTTCGTTTTTAAGGACTACCTACATTTCGCACCCTTTATATTTTTAAAAATGTGTCACGAAGTTTTAATTTTTTTACTTTGTTTTTAAGATTTTGAAAGGGAAGTGTTATTGACACTTCAAAAGTTTTATTCTACACTCCTCACAAGTGTATTTTTCTTGCCAAATATAGAAAGTTTGGAGTGTATAATGAGATTTTTGAAGTGCCAATAACAATTTCCTTTTGAAATTGTCTTAATTTACACATTTGGTCTGATGAATTATTTGAATCTTTATTAAATTGATAATTTGACTTTGAAATTCAAATATCAAAAACTATAAACTGATACAATTTCAAAACCTTAAAGGGCAATTTGAGAAAATGAAAACCTCATGGCTCAATTTAAACCACCTCAACCTTTTTCTTTTTTTTCTTGAACAAATGATATTATCTATATTAAAAGAGAGGGACGTTCTTAAGCTCACATTAAGCTAGCAATAATGTAGTTTGTCTTACCGTTGCGAGCACCACCATTACCATCAACGCCGCCACCACCATAATCACATTCTCCATCCCATTACCCTCACCCTGGCCACCACCACCTCTACCACCATCCCTATCTCTCAACCACCATTTTCAGAACCCTCCCTCACAACCCTTAATGTTAACAAAACCATCCTCTACCACCATCGCAATCGCCACCGCCGCAACCCCAACCCCCCTCCCCCTCCGCTATTTCCCTCTACCCTGGTATTGCCACCTCCCACCACTACTAACACCTTTATTCTCACCACTCCAACCGCCACTCCAACCACCATTTTTACCAACACTAATCTCAACTTTATTTAGCTACAGACATTCTCAAATCACAATGCAGAATACAAGTTTTTCAAAAATCATTTTATAGAACGTTACCAAGGTCCCTAAGATTCCAGAATACTGAATCGTCTTTGTAAGGTGAGAATTGGTAAAAGCAAGTCCATAACAAAACATTCAACATTCGGGAGAAGAGCTACACAAAAGGCATACTTTCCCCCACGCCACGCACATCTTCCCCTTGAGTTTTGGCCAAAATTTTTATCTAACATATTATAATGCCAGTAACACATCTAATCGCTCCATGGATCACTCTCTGTCCTCACTTCTGATGCTTCAACTACTTGTGCTTCCACCGCTTCAGCGGCATTCGCATCGGATTCTGCCCCATTAGTACCGTCGGCCACCTCCTCATCTTCCAATCTACCCCATCTTCCCCCGAGGGCCATTGCCATCATCTCGTATATCTTGTTTCCCAAATCAGCTGGGCTGTCGGGCTGCGTCATTGAAGAAAGAAGTAAGAACATAAAGTTACTGTTAAACTATCACATTACAACAACGGAAGAAACAAATGCTTGCAGCTCACCGTGAATCCACTGGAGATCAATGCTGTGTCATACAAGAGTTCTACAGCTCTCTTGGCATCAGTGCTGTCAGGGGCATTCTTGCAAGCAGCCTGCAATGGTCAATCCATATATAAGTCCAGTACTTCAGTCGTGAATAGTTCTAGTGACACGACACGAAGGTGTGTAGTTTTTTGTTCTCTCTCACGTTTTTATGCACCTCTCCCAGTTAGCAGAGTTAAATTAGTGTTTCGGAAGAGAACATTCGTGATCTTACCTTTAGGTCCTTAACGATGGGATGATCTGGGTTAATTTCCAATATTCTCCTGCCCCTCATGAACTCCAAACTTGCAGTGTCTCCAAGGGCCTGTGCTTTCATCAATCTGCCGAAGCAAAATGTTTTATCACAATCACAGTACGGGAAGGGAAACAATTCACAGCACTGGTCTGGTCAAGTCAAAATACCTCTCCATGTTGGCAGACCATCCAAACTTTCCAGAAACAAGTACACAGGGAGATGAGCTTAAACGCTTCGAGACTTGGACTTTTGCCACCTTATCACCAAGTTGCTGCTTTATCCAGTCGCACACAAGAGTGTATTGTTGTTCAGTTTCCCTTTCTTTGACCTCATCTTCGTCACCTGGTATAATAAGTTTTGGTGAGAAAGATACAACAGGGAAGCTACAACGTTGGACGTAGTACAGAAAGGCCAGGCCAATTACTAACCAAGCTCCAAATCTTCCTTGCTGATGTCTACAAACTTCTTTTCTTTGTATGTTTGTAGATTCTGGATAGCCACTTCATCAATAGGTTCAACTAAATACAAAACCTAAGACAAAAAGAAGACAAAATGTCAGAAAGAGAGAAAGAAATAGAGAGACAGCACTGTCACAAATTCCGCACAACACATACCTCAATGCCTTTTTGGACCAACTTTTCCAAGAAAGGGGCACTTTTTGCACTTTGTAGACTGTCTGATGCCAAGTAATAGATTGCCTTCTGGTTCTCAGGCATGTTTTCAACATAATCATCTAAGCTTATCAGTTCTTCCCCACTTTTTGAAGAGTAGAACCGCAACAGGGGTGTTATGCGCTTGTGATTTCCAGAGTCCTCAATGCAACCTAACTTTATGAACCTGCCAAAGTTCTCCCATAGTTTCTTGTAATCCTGGGATCAAATTCAAACATTTTCCAATCAATAATAATTTTCAGGTGTAATGGAAGAAGAAAAGACAACTCAATTGCTGGCCACCAACCTCTTTATTTTCACTCTCAGAAATATCTTGAATCATGTCAAATGTCTTTCGCACAAGTCTCTTTCTCATGATTCTTACCTGAAAATATTAGATGGACGGAGGCTAAGATCACAATAGAAATTGATAACAGTATCCAATGCATAACAAAAACAAAGAACAATAGCATTTGCTTCACAAAATGCATAAAAGATTAGCGGAAAAACTTAGGCTTACAATTCGACTTTCTTGAAGAATCTCGCGAGAAACATTAAGAGGAAGATCATTTGAATCCACCACACCCTTAACAAAGCTCAGGTATCGCGGAAACTGCAAAAAGACTAATTCAGTGTATTGCAGCGATGAACCATAGTTTCAACATTCCAGATTATACATCACAAGTTGAATATGCATGTGAATGTGGATTTGCTATTTAAAAAAATTATAAGCATGAAAATGTAGAACAACAGCATTGTTAATGATATATGAATTGTTTTTAAATCATAAAGTAAAATCACAATGTAAATTTAATGCACAACAGTATATGCAACAAAAAATACATCTTCACTAAAACAAAGAACAAAATGGAAGCTCAAATACATGTGGTTTCCAAAATGTAAAAACTTACCAGTTCACCATCAAAATCATCTGAGATAAATACCCGCTTCACGTACAAACGTATATTCTTTGTTTTAGGATTTACTACATCTTCATTGTTAAGAGGCCCCATTCCAGGAATATAAAGAACACTCCTGAACTCCACCTCACCCTGGGCAGATATCAAAGTTAAGTAAACTCCAAACAGGTCATATTGTCTGTTTCAACCAAATTATTAAAGCACACAATAAGACAAAGGGGATGAGAGAGAGCAATAGTCATTTCAGTACCTCAGTGGTGAAGTGAGTGTATCCAAGTGGATCCAGGAACTCACTAAAAGTTTTCTTGTAAAATTCTTGATACTCCTCTTTTTGAACTTCCTTTGGACTCCGCATCTGCAGAAGAACAAAAACATTTTTATAAGAAGGATGTAATATGTATAGCAAGAATATACGTGCACATTAAACAAACAGGCCACACTGAATCTAAATAAATAATATTATTGCTTCAACTCACCCATATAGGCTTTGTTTCATTGGCTAATTCCCAATCCCAATACTTCTCAGTTTTTGTCTTCTTTTTCTTCTCACCCTGGTAACGAGCATTGTAATTTCAATGTACTATTGACCAAGATCAAACAACATTTCAAAAAATTACGAATCCCATGTAAAACTACCTCTGGTTTTGGTTCTTCTCCTTCTTTTGGTTCTTCCTCCTCTTCAACCTGCCAAAAGTTTCCACTCAATGAGGACCGGCAAAGGTGATAATTGCTTCATTGTTAAAGAACAGATAATTTTAAGCTTAGAACGTAAGCTATTGAAGAGTATATCGACTGAAGACGGCTTATTCAAAGAGTAACTTTATGATAACAATATTTTCCTGGTTGCCACCTACAATGAACACTTTTCATGCACACCTTCGACTAGTAAAAAAGTAACAATGGAACCGTTAGGAACCAATCACATGCAAAATTCAACTCTACAAATCCCTCCAAAACCAGCCATATAGGGGGAAAATGATCTGTTGAAGAAGAAAATGCAGTCCTCACCTCTACAGTCCTAGATTTTTCTTGCCATGTATAGATGGGGAAGGAAACAAACTGTGAGTAATTCTTCACTAAACCCTGGATCCGGGCCGGCTCTGAGAATTCATACTTGTCATCCGGCTGCAAGGAGAAATTTAAATTTAAGACAGCTCACCATAAGTTAATTAATTTTCCAAAAAGAAATCAGTAGAAAAGAAATTCGCAAATAATAATGACAATCTGTCAACACCTGCAATAGCTGGAATAACTTCAATGACCAAAAAAACGAGGAAAGTCCCAAGCAAACGAATAAATACCATGAAATGAGAAATGAAGTAGCCAGTAAGGGGTACCTACCCTTAAATAGAGGGTAATCTGTGTTCCACGTTGTATGAGATTTTCGGGATTAGTTTCTTCCTTAATAACATAAGAGCTACTGTCAGCTGCTGCTTCCCAAACATATTGCTTGTCTGACCTTGGGCTTTTTGTAGAGACGACCACCTGATTTTGCATAATATATACAAGAAAATTAGCAACACAGCTATCCATAGTAGAATCCTAGCTACAAGCAGATAGCCAGGTATAAAATAAGTGTGAAATCATACTATACCTTGTCAGCAACAAGAAAAGCAGAATAGAACCCAACACCAAATTGACCAATCAAACCATTGTCTGCACCAAGATCCTTGTTTTCCTACCAAAATAAATGGCTGAAAGATAAGACTCGAAAGCATCAAAGAACTCAAAAGGATTCACATAGAAACAACAAAGTGCAAAATAATGCATTCACTGATGCTCGGTGGGCCGGGCAGCAAGGGGAGAGAGGGAGAGAGAGATAGGAGTGAACCTTCAGAGCCTTTAGAAACTTTGAAGTGCCACTCTGAGCAATGGTTCCAAGACAGTCAATGAGTTCCTCTTTTGTCATTCCAATACCAGTATCCCTAAAATACAGAGAATCAGATTTCAAATATCTCCCACTGATTCATCCAGTGACAAGATAAAGCAAAAATTTAGAAACAACATACGAGATAGTGACAGTCCCATTGTCTGGATCAGGTTTGATGCGTATCTGTAGCTCACCAGAATCGCCAAGCAGATGAGGCTCAGTCACACTCAAAAATCTCAACTTGTCCAATGCATCACTAGCATTACTGAAACAGGAAATGCAAAATTAAGTCAACACACGGCCAAATAAACAGGTACACACAAAACGCATCATAACGAGCACATTGTTCAATCAAATCAATCCTAATTTAAAATCTATATTATCAAAAAGTTCAAAGAACAAACTAAGGAAGCAAATTCTGCAAGCAGAAAGAGCATATCCTATAGGCCATGAATCACCAAAAGAACTTTTAATGAAGTGTAGGGAAATGCAAGCTCACCTCACAAGCTCTCTAAGGAACACCTCCTTGTGGCTGTATAGACTATGAACTATCAAATCCATAAGCCGAGACACCTGCAAATAGTTTCCAACTCTTCAACTTTCAGTTCCAAAACTCATACATCAAAAACCGAAGCCTCGCGATAACGAATATGAAAACAACAAGCATTTATTATTCTCATTTTCTGTCGAAAACAATGGCAAAGACCCATAATTTAAAGCACAGGAATCCATTTTCATTGCAAATAAAAAGTAAAAATACATAAAATTCTACAAATTTTGGAAATCGCAGAGCTCAATTGAGAAACAACACAAAAGACCCAAAATTTAAAGAAACAGAGAGAAACCCACCTCGGCCTGGTACTCGAATCTCTCACCGGGGGCATCGGTGGCCTCCTCCTTCTCGGCAACCGCCGCGTCGCAGCGGACGGACACTCGTCTGTTCCTGCTCTCAACCTTCCACTTCAATCCGCCGCACGAGAAGCCCTTTCGGAGCCCATTCTGCGGCACAAAAGCGCTTCTGAGGCTCAAGGCCCTGCTGGGGTTTCCGAGCGCGAATGGAGACGAAGAAGGAAGCGAAGCCAGAGAAGCAGTTGCCATGCTTCTGCTCAGAACTGGAGCCATCCCTAAACCTAACAGAAGTAGTTGCGTTGGGGATGAGGCGATGATTCCGTTGTGCCAAACACAGAGTGTAAAAACCCTTTCGTGAGCTGCGAGGGTTTATCAGGTTTTAAGTAGGGGAGGGTGGAGTGTTCTAGAAATTACAAAACTTGGGGGTTTTCAGTTTTGTTTGGACTCGGAGCTTCCTTCTGTGGAATTTGTGAGGCCCAGATTCCTTCTGCCATTTCACCTTCAACCTTATCCTCTTCATTTTCCATTTTTCTTTTCTAATTTTAGCAATAAAATTGAATTAACTTGCCGGTCGTATGGTAACTAGTCGACTTTGTGTTATATTTAAAGTTAAATACGTCTTAAATTTGGTTCACATCGATTAACTATTAAAAATATGAACAGAAAAAAAATTAAAATTGAATTAACTTGACGAAACTGTCCCAGCAAATAATGTTAACAAATCGAGCTATTAATCGCTTGTTCGATTGTATTAGCCATTAAGTACCCATTTAAGTTCAATCTTTGGTTTATATGCTTTGCTTCTATTGTCTTTTGGCAATTCTCTCCCTCCTTTTGCCAACTCAACTATATCAACCAAGACAATCTGAAACACAGCTACAACTGACGTTACATTCCAACATGGTGAATGTATAATTTAGCTTTTGCAATGAAACATTCAATAAACTCAGAAGGAAAAACCCTGCAACATATTTTAAGATCATAAATCACAAGAGACCGAGACGGCCTTGAGGGTCAAGTTTGGCGTCTAGGATTGGATTGAATTGGATTGGATCGGATCGGATCAGAAAGAAAAACCCCGCGAGGAGTGGCGCTGCATTGAGCTATTACAAGTTGATAAGATATATGGGGCAAAAATGCATTCCCTTGAGCCAAACATTCCATCAACCAAACATGTACTGGTCTATAAACAAATTGCAATCCAAGGTACGAGAGCACTCAAGCCTCTAAAGCGGCCTGCTTCAGACAATCTACGTTACATAATCCAACTGACCTCACCATATCTCCCAATCTGCCACCATTGATTTTAAGCCGGCGTTAGCGAAAACTGAAAACGAAATGGCTAAAACATAAATTATATCAATGATCAACTCACCGGTCGAAGCTATTTCTAGCTCTCTCCGACTGATCTATGCTGCTCCTTGCCTTTCCAGACCGATCTGTGCTCCTTCTTGACTTCTCTCTCTTCTCAGTACTTGTTCTTGATCTCTCTTTACTGTCTGTGCTGAGCCTGGACTTGTCTCGCTGCCCCGTGCTGGACCTAGACTTGTCTCTCAAGTCAGTGCTTGATCTTGCCTTGTCCTTGTTGTCTTCGGTCTTCAGAGGAGACTCCGATTGATCTGCACTCTGTTCGGTTGAATTTCGAAGACGGGGTAGTTTCTCTATGGCAGATATGAACTTCCTGAGATGCCTCAAGTACTCTGGATAGAGTTCCAAGTTACAATGGTTGCCTCCTTTGAGCCACAAGGGTTCATATTTCTCTTTGCAAAGCTCCCACAGCTGTTTTCCATGCGAGAAATCCACAACTTCATCTTCAGTTCCCTATAAAAGTTGAACAAAGGAGTTTGGGATTATTCCAAGAAATGTGGTAGGATTAGAAAATTCCAAGACTACATTCAAAACGTAAATTCTTTATGCATGATGTCCGTTCTTTATTAAAAGATTACCGTCCATTTTATGAGGAATTAATAGATGAATTACCAAAAGGTCCTTACCAAAACTGCAACTGTTGAATTGCAAAGATATGTGGTAGGCTCAAAGTATTCCAAGAATTAATATATGAAGACTTACATGAATCACCAAAACTGGGCAACTGACTTGTGGGATCTTATCGATATTCTGCAACAAACACAAAACATTTCATGATGGAATTCAATAAACCGGTCTACGAAAAAATTTGATTTTGTTCAACGAGAGTGCAAAAAGTACGAGGTTCGAACCTTATAAATGTCGAACCAGAATGTTTTCTTGACAGCGTACATCACTCGAAGGCCGGACAGTATCGGACTGTGAAGAACAACACCCCTCAAGTTAGGCAAACGAATGGCCAAATCCAATGCAGGTCCGCTTCCAACTGACTGTCCGTACAAAATAACATCTTCCTCCTTTATGCCGTACTTCTCTTCAAGGCATTTGTATGCTGCCTCTATGTCTGCATATGTGTCCTGCTCACTTGGCTAATTTTACAAAGGCACATTATCGTCAATATGGTCTGAAATTAGATAAAAAAATATCTCGTGTAGCGAGATATATCTCATCTTCTCTCTTGCTTTCTCACTTGATAGCTCACAGACGAGCGAGAGAGAGAGAGAGAGAGGGGAGATATATCGCGGGGATAAGGAAGCATTAATTTCTCATCTATGCATAAACTTGGGAACATCAAATTTCTAAATGGTAACTGCTGTTTTTCCCAATCCAAAACAAAGAAGTAAACAAACAGTTCTTCATAAAATAATCGGGATTTAGAACATGCCAAATCAGGTCATGTCAGTGACACGTGTTCAACAAACACTGGATTTGACACAATTGATTTAGTTCCAGAAATTTATATAGAAACTGGCTAGCTGGGCAGATTATACCTTTCCAGAAGATTGTCCATAGCCAGAATAATCGTAGCTGCAAATATAGCACAAGGAAAAGAAAAAAAAATCATAACTAATCCGGATCGATACCATTTAAACACGGAAATTATTTTCGTTTGATTTATTTAATTTAAATGTCGAAAATAAATAACTGTGCACAAAAATCACTTCTCGAGAAACGTAAATTAAGTGGGAACGTATATTGGAATGAAAAGCATATGAAAAGTGATATGATATATACTGACCCCATGAGATTGACACCCAGATGAAGACTAAGCTCAGTGAAAATGTGGTACATCTGACCAATATCAGCAGCATTTCCATGGGAGTAAAGCAGAGTGAGTGAAGCACATGGATTTTTGACATACATAGCCACAATCTCATTCCCTTTTTTTGTGCTCAGCTTCACCACGTCAACATCGTCTCGAGGAAGAACATCGGAGATCCTCATTTTCCCGGTTGGTTCGTCGATGTACGTGTCATATGACGGAGGGTCCGGTGGGAAAAATGCGAACTTTGCAGCCATAGACGATGTTGCAGACCCCATTTCTTGATCCGTGGAAATTTTTGGGAGAGAATTGTAGTGCAGAGTAAAGTTTGGCTTTTGTTTTTGAAGTTGGTATTTTTTTGGTATGAGACTGTGTGATATATGAAATGCAAAATATGAGAATTTGAATCATGGGAATTTAAAGCATGAAGGTTTAAAAGGTTTGTAATTCTCTTAAAAAAGAAAAAAGGTTTTCCATTTTGTTTTTAGAGATAAAATGCCTGAATTATGACTCGTTTTGAAGTGCTTTTTCAAAATGATCAAAAACGGTTTTAAAAAAAAGTATTTTTTAAGTTCCAAAAGCACTTAAAATTGTGCTTTGTAGGATACACTTCAAGTGTTTTTTCATAATTCACTTGCATTTTTACTAAGGATTGGTTCTACAAATATTTTCACCAAAACCAATTTCAACAATTTAAAAAACACTTCCAAACAAGTCTTTAACGTCGGTATTCAGAGCCAAAGATTTGAAGGACACGACAGGATATGTAGAGCAAGGAATTCTTGTCGGATAATCATATGGGACAACAAAAAAGAAAATCCAAGGAATAAAAGGAAAAAGAAAGAGCAAAAATTTTGCAAATCAATTGCCTAAAAATCATACCTTGAATTTATTTTCGTAAAAATAAAATCAACGAGGCCATTTTACAGCTACCAAATGGATTGTGAATTGTGATACGTTGGTTTCATTGAAATAAATGGAAAATAAATGAATTGTTGGAAAATATGTTCAAAAATAATAATAAAATCTTTGTTCAAAAATAAAATAAAATAAAAATCATTTGTTATCTCTCTATTTTGTAAGTGAGAGGGGATCAGTTCTAAAGCAAATACATAGTAGTAAACCAAAATAATAATAAAAAAAATAGTTCATAGAATTGCAGTTAGATTAAAAATTTATTTTGAATGTTTGCTCTTAAAAAATCCACAGGAATCATGTTATGACTTGCCTTACGTTCCAACCCAGCGGACTTTAAAATTGAGAGAGCCAAAATGCAAAAGTAAAATGAATGATGAACTTGTGGGGTAATTGATGAAAAAATAAGCAAAAGAAAATGAGTGGGTGGCTGGGTGGGGGATGGCTGAGGGAGCATCAAATGATTACATATTGGACTATATTTACTTTTGGCTTATTTTAACTGAAACTCTGTTTCGATCTTCATTTGTTATCGAAAACTCAAATTTCGTCATTTTGTATTTCGAAATTTTATTTTGGCTTCACTTTGTCATTTTGCGTCAAATTCGTCAATAAAACTGTTAAAATTGAGAGGTTGTATGATGAGGCCCGCTTAATTGCTAATATGGCTGCCATGGCAAGGTGAGATAAACTAAAGTTTTAGGAGGCGTAACTAAAAAGGTGGTGTTATCCATAAAAGGGCGGTGTTATCCATACATTAATTTTACCTCACACAAACTATTGTTAATCTATGTCTTTGGTTTTCTTCAATTTATTCTATTTATCAGCCAAAAATTAAGAAAAGTAAGTTAAATGTAAAAGGGAATGTGCGAAAAACACCGACCAACCGAAAATAAACCTATACTTTTACTAGAACTCACTTGAGTTACAACTTGTTGCAGACGAGAAAATCTAAGTAATTTTTACATTCACTTTTTCTCATCATGCAAACACCCTTTTGTTTTCTAGCATTTTGAAATTTCACACTAGAAAAATTATAAGAAAATTAGAGATTAGAAATGAGGAGAAGAGTGCAGAGGAAAAAATAATTATGGAGTCACTAGCCTTTTAAAGACTAAATCACCTTCATTGGAATGTCATATAATATTTCCAACGGAAGGAATTAAACTATTTAATATTAGAAAATACATAAATGCATGGATTCACATAAATAGAAAAACCAAAAATTGATTCATGAATTCTAATGATACATGGTACCTAATTATTTCAAATTCAAATTGAATTTTACATTGTTTATGTAGATATACAATTCAAAATTATTTCCTTAAACTCATTTGATCTAATATTGAATGATTCTTCAAGCAATGTAGACCTAGTTAACGTTGAAATCTCAATCTCCTTTCTGCTGCCTCGTACCATCTTATGAAGGGTAATGCTAGGGAAATCAATTTAATTTGCAAACCAAATGATGTGTCACAAAAAAAAAAGTTTAAGCATGTTAATAACACTTAACAATAATTCAATCATTAACATCTAAATCATTTGGTTTAGAAATTTGAACTCTCTAGCATTACCCCTTGCAAAACATCTACTATAAAATGTGGTGGCATGCAGCTCAAGATTGACAAATTTTTCATTGTGACGTGAACACGGATGATACATCACGTGTTTTTATGTAAGTGGTGGGAAATTTTATTTTTTAAGTTATTAACTTTTTAACACATATATCTCACCATTTATATAATGACACGTGATGTACCACCTCGTATGCCGGTCAGATTGAAAATTTTCTCCTCACAATTGTGGTGGCTATACGCAAAATGGCATGCACCCACATAACATTTGCACAAATTCCGACCCAGGAAAAAAGTTACACATTTAGAGGCGGTTTGATGAGTTGGGGTAAAGTAAAAAACAAATGAGAGTTACACTTTAGAAGAGGGACACCCACTGAAAGATATCTCCACTGAAAAACTTTGTTGGATCGATAAAACCCCTTTAATAATATTCTAATTCCAAAATAATTAGTTCTAAACATAATTGCGAGCAGAGAGTAGTGATTCAAAAATCTACTACATGCAATTCATATACATGGATGTTTCTTATTCTAATTTGATCCAATGCAGTGTTTTCGGTTTTTTCTGCTTATGCTACATTATTTGATGTGTATTCTTCTTTTTAGGAGGCTCAATATATATACAAAAGTACAAGTTCATTAGGCATACAAGGAATTACTCGAAATAAAGAAATCACAATCCTACAACTCAGGCCAGTAACTAGTGCAATTTTTATCGTACAAGAGTTTGATGAGCATCTTCATTTTACCATACAAATTTAAAGTATAAACGTACAATACACGAGAAATGAAATACCTTTCTCATTTTCAAACCTATTTTTCTCACCAACCAAACACATAAAGATTTGGATTATAACTCATAAGAGCATCTCCAAAGGAGATACCAAAATATACACATTAGTTATAACAGTAAAAAAAAAAAAAAAACCACACTAATATTCTCCAACCGAAATGTCAAATCCTATGTGGCGATGACATAGATTGGCATCAAAAGATGTTGCTGTCAAATTTGACAGCAGCTTCAAATGTTTTTTATTAATTATTAAATGTATTTTATTAATTTTTAATTAGCTTAATCATTTATTATAATTAATGTTGAGTTGACCGATACAATTATCATACTTTTTTCTTCTTTTCAATCAAGGAAGGTAAACAGATTACTCATTAAAATTTAAATGTCCTTTATTAAATTTAAATTAGTTTAATAATTTATTTTATAAAATAATAAAATAATAATTTAATTTGACATATTGGTTGGAGAACAAAACTTTAAAAGATGTCAAAGTGCCACATAAACTGTCAAAATTTAAATTTTATATTTAAAATTTGACATTTCCTTTAGAGCTGATCTAACGTATTCATTGTTAGTTGTTTCTAGGTATTAGAAGCAGTAGCCTAACAAAAATCATATATTAATGTAGACATGGAATTGAGGAATTAGGGTTTAGGTTTTGGCAACCTCGGAGTCGGCATGCAAAAAGAAATTAGGCCAAGCTAGTTATTCATTGTTAGTTCTTCGATGTATGTGTATATGGCGGCAGACAGGCACAAAACACTTTAACTTCCGTAGCTTCCGTTCTACGTTATAGTCCTACATTTCTCCTCTAGAGGTTAAAAAATATATATACACTACTAGTTAGGGTAATTTTCTGAAAATTCGAGAAACACACATCAAATTTTCTCTCAAAATGCTTTGAAATCTTCGTTCCCAGATCAAAATACACATGGGTTGACACGATGTTTTATGTAGTATTTGTAATAGGTGTTCTTGGCCACACCTTTTCAAATTAAAATATGCATAAAATATGTACGTTTTTGGAAACCCTAGTTAGGTCCCCTAGCTAGTTTGAATTGACTTAGAGTACGTGTGTGTGTGTGTGGGGCTGCCACCTATATATTTGACTAGGGGTTTTACACATTTGACTCTTTGAAATCCTGCAGATTTAACACATTCACCGACTCACTGAAGTGCTGATAAGATATCATTCCATTAATTCTTCTTGCTTAGACTGAGATTTCGGTCCAATGAAGTTTTCTTACCGCTTGGTGTTTGTGCTTGTTTCTGCTGCAAGCATATGGAATATCTCTGCGAATTCCCGTCATCAATTAGGTATCTACTTTCCTTTCTTCTTCTGTGTTATTGTTCACGTTTTTCCCAAGGTTCTAAAAAAAGTTAGGTGCTAATCGGACGACAGGCTGGCGCCTAGTCAGATTTAGGTAAATTTCTTGTATATCTTGTAAATAAGTGCATATTGACACTTACAAAAAATTATACTTTTATGAAATCCATGAATAAGATAATAAAAAAATGATAAAATGCAAAACGAGTATCCAACAAGTCTAAAATTTAAAAACACATTAAGCATATATGCCATATAACCATAATGAGGAGTATTGTAAGATGACACATGTACAACAAGTTCACAATTTTAAACCACTTAGACTTAGATAGGATTTTTTATTTCATTAAAAAAAAAAAAAACCGTCTAGCCCGCCTAAAGCCCATCCGATTTTTACAACCGATTTGCAAGAAAACACCTCGGCTCACCGCCGAGGCCGTTTTTTAGAACATTGCTTTTTCCTTAATATTTGTGAATTAAATTATGTTTGTTACTATGCAATGTTTAAGCTTACTATCCACAATAACATTGCGATTTTCTACAATTTGAAGGCGAAAATGCAGTTGTGACAAAAGTTGTTTCGACTTCAAAGGTACGTACGGTATTAGATGTATTTTACACACTCTGCACTTTGATGTAATTAATCTAGCACTCCAAACTGTATGATTTGTAATACTTATTGTTATCCTCAAACAATTTCTAGACTCGTATATATACATTTATAGGTTTGATTTAACGATATATTTACATATATGATATACAGGTGCAGCGACAAGATATTGATCATCATGAAGTGGTTAGTCCTCCTACTGCAACTAAGAAGGACAAGAGGATAGGAGGAAGGAAAATGGCAGCGGCGAGGTTAGAGAAGGACGTTAAAGTAGCGGTGGACGGCCCTATAAGAGGAACTAGGAGCTCCAAGACCTTAAGCAGCAGCTCCGACCTTGAGGGAAAATCTTCATGCGGCAATGTGGAATGCAGAGAAAGTACTACTGCAAGTCGATTTTCTGAGAAAAGTGTCGACCATGATCAGGAATATGCAGGATTTGTTGCTTTTAGTCAGGATTACCATTCACCAAGGCACCACCCTCCTAAGAATAACTGATCCCATGAACATGAATAATGACTGGAGAGCCTCATATACTAATTTCAATAATGTGCTAATTAATTAGCATCTTTCTAATTTTACTTTGCACTCTTTCTTAGTTGGTTTTTTTTTTTTCGCACCACGATTTCTTGCAAATTTGAAATTTCTTTGCCTGTGTATATGTGAATGCTCTTATGCTCATTTTTTGGCTGCCATAAACAACGGTAAATGTCTGTGTGTGTATCAAAAACCATATTTTAGGTATTAAATAATTCTTCAAAATTCCTTTAATTAATAGAAATACTATAATAAAGGTTTTGAATAACATTTGAAAAATGCCACACGTTCTCATTCTTTCTCTCCATTCACACTTCAATATTCTGTATGTATGTGGTTTTGTTGCAATATATTTGCACTATCTCGAATGTTAATGCAACTAGAATGCTAATGTGGCGGTATTGGAAGAATAGTCATGTATTTTAACCGTTGAAGTAAGGGAAACAACTATATAACACACTGTGATTTGTTTGAGGTTATGTCAATTCCTCTCATAAGTTTGATTGACCTATGGAACTAGACCAAATCCCTACCAGTTCGTGAGTCAACAAAACAACCAAATCCCCTTTCACTAACAAGCCAAACGACCAATCTCAACCCTAAAAACAGTCACTGTTCTAACAAAAACAAAAAACAAATTGTCCAAACGACCATCATTGCATGCATGTTTGCCGATTTTCTAACCTGTTGGTGATTGTTCAAAAGGAACGAAAACAAACAAACAATACCAACAGAGTTATCAAACCTGTGTCCACAACAACCAACTAATCTCATTTTATTGGACACTAAATATTATCTAAGATGGATCTTCCTACTTTTCACACCACATCCATGCAGAAAACAAAAACCATGTCGATTTCTAAGCACGCCCACGTCCTGGTGTTTCCGTAAACCGCCCAAGGCCACATGCTCCCTATCCTAGACCTCACCCACCAGTTAGACCTCCACGGTCTCACCATAACAATACTAGTCACACCCAAAAACCTGCCAACCCTAACCCCACTTCTCTCAGCCCACCCCCGGACCTCCATCGAAACCCTAGTCCTACCCTTCCCTCCTCACCCCCAAATACCCCCGGGCGTCGACTTCGAGAACGTCAAGGACTTAGGAAGACGCGGAACTCTTCCCCGTAATCCAAGCGCTTGCCAACTTTAGCGACCCAGTTATCCAGTGGTTCAAGTCCCACACTAACCCACTCTGACTTCTTCCTCGGGGGGACACTTACCATGAATGGCAAAATGGACAATTTACTGCACAATCCCACTAAAGCTGAAACTCCATGAAGAATGAGGGACGAAACCGGAACGTCACTGTTAATGAACAGTACTTTTCCACTGGATTTTAGTATAGAGGTAATATGTATATTATGAGATTAAAAGAGTAATGTTAAGTAAACTAATTTTTTTAGACGGTAATTATGTGATGTTTCTCATATAGGAATAATAGTGGGTGAATAAATAATATATCCGAGGTTATTTAAAAAATAATAGTGGGTGTGGAAATCATATTTCAACTTTTTATAGTGAGTGAAATTATAATGTAAATAGAGAAATAAGACATTATAGTGGGTCTAATAGCTCTCTAGTCTAATTGTAAACATTTATGCCATTAGTTTTTCGATAACAAATTCTTTTTTACTAGCTTGTTAGAAAAAGCCAATTTTCAAAGTGTGGTTGAAGTAATTCAATCAAAAACTTGAACCGATCGACACACCCTTTTTTTTTACTTCCCATTCATTTTTGTTAATTTTTTTATTGTTGATCTAACGAACAAAAAAAATTGTATGAAAAGTAAAAGGGCAATTTTATTTCAACCCTTGTAACCTCTTTCGACATCAAATTTACTTTTTACACCTTGTTGACCCTAGAAATTACAAAGCCTACGTGGCGTGCAGGCCGAATATATTCTAAGCTAACTACGTCCTTCGGTGATTGCGGGGCGTGCCAACTCGTCGGCCGAGGCTCGGCCGAGGAGTAAATTTGATGATGCTGCGTTGGGTCGCGCTACTGACTTCTGCGTCTTGCGATTGCGGCCGAGAAAGGAACGCGTCTCGGCCTCTTGGGTTCTCGAGCCTGAAGACAAGGCTGCTATTTCTTACAAAGTTCACGAACCGAATTCGGCTTACAATGTGCCGAATGTAATAATTGTAACACCTCACCTCACCGAGAAGGCTAATGAGATGACCTCGACCAACAAGGATTCGAAAACCCTTCTCGACCGAGACTTGGATAGGCAGTCGACCGTTCTCGCCGCAGTGCTGTTGATGCCAACGGAAGATACTGCGAGACCGACCGACTCTACGGTGACAGAGCTATCTATGCCGACTTAAGATATCACCGGTTGCTTCCACAGTGCTGTTGATGCCAACGGAAGATGTGTCAGCGAAAAAGGAAAAGAAAAAGATCTCAAGTTGTGAGAGTTTGCGCAGGGCAATTTTTGTGTTGATTTGCAGGGGCTCCACCGTTGCTGAATGTCTTGTATTTATAGTAGCAGCACATCAAGCCCGAGTTCCAATCCTATTCGGACTAGGTCTCCTTCTCCGGATTACCATCCCCTCAATCAGTCCTATCTCCGCTAGGACTACGAATCTAGTCCTTAACTGAGCCGGATTCGCTTTCTAGATTATTGATCTCGTCGAGAGTCCTTATTGCACTAGGATTCGACCTCTTGCGTTATGACCTAGCAGACCTAGGTTTGGAGGTCCACATACTGAACGATCCGCGGTATTCTTGCCGCCAGGCCTTCAGGGCCGAGAATGACCTTATACTCGGCCCAAACTGTCACTTTGGGCCCAAACATTGCCCCCTCGCTTCTGAGGTCTTCGGCCTGAATTCCTTGGCCGATTTTTGGCCTTGAAGAAGCGAATCTGTCACTCAGAACCCTAATGCCCGAGTTCCAAGGCGCATTTATTGAACACGATTGCACGATCTTGATCCTGCTAACCAAACTTGCCACCTGGCGTTCTTTAATACGGCCAACCCTAATGATGACGTCCAAGGCGTGCGGCTGCCTGAACCGTCGACATTATGACCACTATCTCAATTCGCGAGCCACTTTCTCAGTTCGTGAGCCCACTCTTCATCGTGCAGGCGTCGAAACGTCTTTCGCCATTAATTTCGCCGTCACACGCAATCGTGCGCCCCCAACATCTGAAACCTTCGGTCTTCTCAACTGCATTTCCCAAATTTTCATCATGATCAGCGATTCTTTCGGTCGATTTTGCCCCTTTGTTTTGAATTTCAAACGATTACCCTTCTTGCCAAAAGCTTATAAATACTGAAAATCTCTCATTCGTACTTTACGCTCCCAAAACTTTCTGAAATCCCTTGCTATTGCTCTCTATTGCATCCTTCTATTCCAAGTCTTCGTCTTTAAACCCCCAACCCAGAAAATCCTTTTACGCCGTGATTCTTTCTTACAATGGCGTCCTTCATCTCCAAGGTTTCAAAGGAATGTGACCAGCATCAGAAGATTCTTGATCGGAGCTCGATCAAGACTATACGGTTTGAAAATGACATGAGCACTCAACACCAGATCATGGGTCCTCTCTTCAAGGCTGCAATACCCCCGACAATCACTGGCCTCCTCCAGGAGCACTGCCTAACACCCTTGTTTCAAGGGTTTGAATGGTCGCGATGGGACGCGGCGAAACCCCAGGGCTCCTGGCCCTCGACGACCACAACCTGGGCAGCCTGGGTCGTTCGAATGGAACGGCTCTTCGGCGATCAGTGGAAGGCACTGGCATCTACGACGCCATCCTCCTCTCGTCCATGGATGTCGTCCTCGACAAGGAGCTTCTCCTAGCCGCTCTGTGCTTCTGGTGCTCGGCCACCAACACAATGGTTCTTCCTCTTGGTCCCATTGGTCCCACCATCCTGGATATCACCGCCATTCTAGGGACTTCGGCAACCGGGATCCCTGTCGACGCGACTCTCTCTAGGCACCTGTCGAATATCGACCTGAAGACGCTTTTTGACCGTCGAGCCTTCGAGACCCTGAGCCGCGATGGTCATATCCCGTCGAAGGAAGACATTCAGAAGCTCCATAAGAACTTCTGTAATTACAACACCCTTTATCTTCACTTCGCCTGCCGAGGAGAAGAAGACCTGCGAGAAGGAGAGCATGAAGCCTTCCTCTTCTATTGGTACAACAAATATATTTGTTGTACCAAATCAAACAAGTGTTTGGTCGAGAACATGCCGGTAGCTGAGGCCCTGGCCAGTGGTCACGTCTTGGCATTGAGTTCCAACATTCTCGCCCAACTCTTCCGTTGCCTGGCCGAAGCAACCCTCCACAAGGTCGACCCACACCAGAATGGTCCCCTCTGGGTCTTCCAGCTCTGGTTACAAGTGTACTTCGTCTCCCTTCGGCCGGCCATAGCTGACTTCTCACCAACGGAGGCGCTTGGACCTCAGTTGGCCTCTCGACCGATACCTCCCCATCAAGCTGAAGAGGTATTTCGGTACCTCTTCGCTCTCGACGACTTCTCCAACGACGAGTTCCTGATATGTCGTCGTCGAGACTATCCTTCCTCCATCAGGCTGCCTACCTCTACATGGAGTTCGGAGGAAGACGCCGATCTTCGTCAGACCTGGGGGTCGTTTGTGCTTGCTCGCGACCTCCCTCTCGGCTGTGATGGGAAACGGTCGGGTTGGGAAGTATACCATCCGAACTTCCTTGCCCGACAGCTCGGCTACCTTCAGGGCTGCCCCGTCCCCCTTCTCTCCTCGCGAACAATCCTAAGCCGTGGACGTGAACCTCGTTCCTCGGAGACGGAATGTAATACTGCCGTGAGGGAGTTCCAAGAGCGCTGCCAAAAATTCCGCCTTCGACCAGCCACCCCAGAAACCCATTGCACCGACACCTTCGGTGAGTGGTGGGAAAATTACATCCGGGAGTTCTTTGGTGCTCCGGTCGAAGAGGTGCTAAACAAACTCTTCGGTGACCGTCCGAAGAAGGCCTCGGCTCCCCAACCTCAAGGTAATTTTTCATTTATCACCGGTTCCTTCCAACCTTGCATATTGATTAGCCTTACTGAATTGTTCTTATCT